TAAACTGGACCCCTTTTCCAACATTAAGCTGTGCACACATTAAATCAAATCAATCTGCCAAACTAAAATCATCATAATTTGTAGAATATGCATATCTATCTGACAAGTATATGGTCTCTACCTTGTGAGTATCCAATAGTCTTCCTACATAGCGGGTTCCTTCATGACTAATTGAAACTCCGTACTCATGTGTGCGGAGTTTGAATTTATTCCGGAAGAATACCGAAACACTTGGTCATTTGATTTACTGGATGTTCTAGGCCGGAGAAGTCTGAGCTGAAGAGGTCCATGGACTGGTCTATGGGACTGAAATATAGGGTTAGGGGTCTGCACGAACCTTGCGTTGCCCGTGTCGCCGCCAAACCTAACAAAGAAAAGAAGCAAAAGAAAGAGGTAGTATAAACGATGTACCTTCGTTCCTCAGGCATCGTAATGGCTGTCGAGGACGGGTCGGCGACTTGTTCTCAGTGCTCGCGACAGACTGGTTCCTCTTCGTGGACAGAGTAGGGGCGCGACGAAAAGTCTTGTTTCTTCTAGGTGTGCGTTGAGGACGGAAAGGGACGCGGGAAGGCGGAATTGCTAGTGCAAGCGAGGATGAGTTAGTGCAGCCATAGACATCGGTGAAGAGCAAACGTACCGAGCGATAAGCATCGCACATGAGTGTGAGATGAGTCGTCCATATCAAGTTCGCCCATTTTGGTTGAGGGGTTGAGTCGACCCGAGTGATGATTGTCGGTGTGCAGCGCAGAGGTGAGATGCACGCTCTGAGAAGAAATGCCAGGGACGAGTCTCTTGCCAATAAGGAGCTGCAAGATATCGCCCGCAGTTGTATCGTCTGTGACAACTGCCGCAACATGATGACAATTAGTTCAATCAGCATATGCAGCCCTAAATTGGAACATACCAAGACAAACTGCGAGACCATTGGGCGAGGTGATACAGACTGTGTAGGGGTTCTTGGCGATCAGTTGCTTCCGGCGGCGCAATGAGAGATGGAACCAGTGGCTGCGATGATAGAAAGGATGTATTGTGATTGACCGATATATTTGATGTAAGCGCAGAACATTTGGGGCAGCGACAGAGACTGGAAAAGCACGCAATCAGGGTCATGTACAAGGGGGAAAACAAGCGGTACTGACCAATGGCAATAAGAAGGGTGATCAAGAAGAAGTAGACGACAAGGATATAAACCGGATGGGACTTCAGACAGAGGGCTTCGGACATCGCAAGAGTAGAGGGACCGAGAACAAGAAAGAGGGTGGCTATTGGGAGGAGAGGCGCCAAGAAAACAGATAACATAGATAGGATCCACTGTCCATAGACGGCTCCAATCGCTTGTGGCGTGAGGGGCGTAAGGCTAGAGACAATGGGTGAGCGCATGCGCTTTTTTGCAGAAGGGTCTGTATATTCTGGTCAGCGGTAAGAACCAGACAGTACAGCAGAGGCATACCTTTATTTTTGGTGCGAGATTTTAACATTGTTGAGATGGTGGGATGCGGAGATTGCTCTATAAGTTGGGTCAAGTAGGTAGACGAGAACGAACTCAAATACGATTTAGAATCATGCGGTATATGACTGGCCCGTGTATGAGCTGGGCCTTCGATACGAATCGTACTTTCGGATCACAACTCAAGAAACGTGCAATGAATCGAGGATGATCAAGTTCGGTCAGGATGGCATGGGACATTCTGCTGTCTACGCCTTCCGATGTTCATGGATTTCACAAGAGTGTGGGTTGAAAAATATTTGAACTAGTCGAGTACATACCTTTTCCAGTATCGTGTGCAGAAAGCACAAAGAAGTTGTTAAAAAAAACCCTTTCCTTAGATGCTGAGATGAGTTTTCTCTTGCCAGCGGCGGATCCACGTCAAAATCAATCACCATAGAACGGCTTTAGCATCCCGAGATCACCGTGCAGTGCAAGAGAGGGCAACTGGTGGATGGTATGGGAAGAAGCAGAGAAAGCGAGAGACATGAAGTATGGTGAATAGCCTTTAGAACCGCTCGACTGAGAACAAGCTTCACACCAGCAAGTATATTAAGTATTATAGTGTAAGAGAGCATGAGCTAGTTGAAGCAGTAGCTTTCCGGTGACATATTCAGTGCGGTGCATGGATCAATAATACCGGAGGAGCTCTGGCGTTTACTAGAGGAGCAACGAAGTCGTTGCGACATTAATGTCGCAAGCCAGCAAGTCGACGCCAACACTCATTCTGATTGGCCGCAAGATTTCGGGCAACGAAATCGTGTGGCCGAGGGCTCGGGGCCACAAGAAATCGTTGCCCGAGAGGCCTGAGGCTGTGCGCCGGTCCGTACTTATGCCCGAGTGGCGTCGTGGCCCGCACATTCTGCAGCTCACTGCTTTTGACCCATATTATGATAAGCTGAAGCGATGGCATGGAGTAGCTCCTCTATGTCTTTACATGATATGAGGCCTCCAGGTGAAACCAGATTTTTGCGTAGACTACAGGTATCATGTCCAAGTCATGTTTCATGCTTGCTCTCGAGTGGCCCCAGAACTTGTACTTATCTGGATCAGACATCACTGTCTGAGAGCACCTTGGTCCGATTATCAGATCGGACTTGAGGCTGCTTTTGTACCGATTTTGTCAGCGTATGGATCAGAGATGGGTGCAATGTGCCAGCCGATTTTGTACGCACCAGGATCGGACTTCGCTACGCATATGCCATGCGCCT